TCCGGTAATAAAATAATGATAGTAAAAATAATTTACCTCTTGTACATAAATAATATTAACTAGCTTTAACCCGTGAAAATTGTAATTTATTTTTATATATTGTAATATATCATAATTCTGAAGGTAATGATTGAGTAAACTCTTGGCGAATTCTACGACAATAAAATAGCCTTAGAAATACCTCTATTGCTTCGGTAAATATCTCAGCTTATCAACAAATATATTCCAATAACTATCATTAATATGAATGATTGTCGTTAACTTAAGAAGTGTTTACAAATGAAAAGATTTCAAAATGACAATGTTTCTTTTTCATTGAATCAGTATTTAAAGATATCTATCTTTCTTTCATTCGTTTTCTCCTTCTTTCTTTCTTAATATTCCTCATTTAAACCAAGTGGTTGTCTTTTCTTCACTTTTCACGTGATCAAAATGAAATAGTCCATTATTTATGAGGTACTGCTAGGAAACGTTAAACACTTCTTTCTTTCGCTATTTTTTTCTTTCGTATTTCTTTCTTTCTTTCTTTCACTATTTTTTTCTTTCGCTATTTTTTCTTTCGTATTTCTTTCTTCCTTCTTTCACTATTTCTTTCTTTCGCTATTTCTTTCTTTCTTTCCGTCACTATTTCTTTCTTTCGCTATTTCTTTCTTTATTTTTCCTTTCTTTCGCTATTTCTTTCTTTATTTTGCTATTTCTTTCTTTCGCTATTTCTTTCTTTCTTTCGCAATTTCTTTCTTTCTTTCTTTCATTATTTCTTTTTTTCCCTATTCCTTTCTTTATTTTTCCTTTCTTTCGCTATTTCTTTCTTTCGCTATTTCTTTCTTTCTTTTTTCTTTCTTTCGATATTTCTTTCTTTCTTTTTTATTTCTTTCGCTATTACTTTCTTTCGCTATATATTTCTCTCTTTCTTTCGTTATTACTTTCTTTCGCTATATATTTCTTTCTTTCTTTCGCTATTTCTTTTTTCTTTCTTTCTTTCTTTCTTCCTTTCACTGTTTCTTTCTATCTTTCTTTCGCTATTTCTTTCTTTCTCTATTTCTTTCTTTCTGTCGTTGCCTCTCTGAAACTATGTCGTGCTCCCCCCCCCCACCTTCCACGCGATTAGAACAGAAAAGTCCATTATTCATCGGTACATTGGAGACGTTGAACACTGCTATCTTCCCTTCTTTCTTTTCTTTTTTTTTTTCTTTCTTTCTTTCTTTCTTTTCTCATTGAAACCAAGTCGTAACACTTTCCTCTCCTTCCACGCGATCAAATCGAAATAATTAATTATCTATTAGGTACTGGCCGTCTTACGAAATATGGAAAGTAAGGACAAGCACTATTATATTAGGATAATCAATGATCGGAAACATGATAAAATTGAAAATTATTCATTTAAAAACAGCAATAATCATAATCACCAGTCCCTTGACTGTCTTCAATCGATGCCAGAATAGACAGACAACTAATCTATCAGGCTGATCTATCGATCCGGCATAGTGTTGCATTGAGTCTTCTTCTTCATGATCCTTTCAGATGGCAACACACATCTCGTCTCCAGGATCTTGACCGACAGACGAAAATCACAGAATATGGCGTGGGTGGCTCTCGGTCCGTATTTCAAACGACCCTCATCAGTTTTGAATTCAGTGTTGTCCTTTTCCTAGGCCGGTTGCCACATATGGCTATAGTATACAATCTATCCTGCTATTAATCAATATTTGTGGGTGGGGAAGAAGAATTAAGAATACAGAAGTTAACGAGTGACATTTCATTTAAATTTTGGGAGATCAAATTTGGATGGAAATCAATAAACCGGAAGAATTTTCCACAAGCGAGAAGTGCGAGATAGGAAACTGTTAGCATAGAACTTACGGTTACGTCTAATCATTTCAACTGTAACATGATGAAACGTTTTGCTAATCTAGCGCTAGGCTTAAATTCATAAACGCTGGTTAAGAGTTCAGCAGAAGAATCGCTATGAAAGTAAGGGAAAGAAAATTACAGATAACATATGAAAGAATATGAATGTTATTATTTTATATTTTATGAATTCATAATTTTGAAATCGTAAACCAAACAATATAAGAGGAAGACAATTAAACCGACAATGAGAACAAAATTGAAGTTTATGATTTTATATTTTACGAATTTATAGTTTTGAAATTGTAAACCAACAATTTAATGTGGAAGAAAAGACAAGCAGAATTTCAAACCGTTTGACTGTTACGATAAAAAACAAAAAAAAAAAAAAAAAAAACAAGATAAAAGATAAACTAGTAAGCACAATCAAACAGAAATAAAACATGTCTGTTTGGGGTTTTTTCAAGTTTTATTAAATTCCTTCCGTACGGATTATACTTGTAAAACTTCTATTTTTGTCTCTCATTATTTTATAGCATGCATTATCACTGCTATTTTTATTTTAAAATTATAGCTGATCTCGCCATTTTTATCATTTTAAAATTACTTTTTCCTTTCTCTCTACTTCTAGAATGTTGAAGGAATTCTTGAGAAATAATTTTGCATTCTAACGTTAATATAATTGTAATGGAAAATGTACACAGATGTAGTCCTTAAGAGAGCTTTATTCAACTGATAATACATGGTGCCCGTATAGTGTCCACTTATAGTCACAGTAAAGAGAAATAGCTCTCTCAGAGAGTAGAGTAACGAAACAAGGGGCGTTTCTTGGTTATTCATAACAATAATATCTCCTGCTGAGGTATTCTTAAGTTATATTTCAACGCCAGACTTAATTACTTTAACTTTATTCATAATCTCATCTTTTTATTGTAAAGCTATTTTCCTCATTTAGATTTTGCATACCAGATTTTATTTCATCTTACATTTATTTGTTCCTTTTTTAAAACTATCAATTCCAGTTACATATTTGCGTTATAAATTAATTTTTATCTCTATTTGTATTTTAAAATTAGTTTTTGGCTTTGCTTGTTTAAATTTTAAACTATTTTTAATTCAATCGTTTTGCATTGAAAAGTAAATTTATCTTTAATGTTAGTCATTTTAAATTATTTTTATTTCTCTTTATATAATTTAAAATTATTTAATTTTTTTTTATACAATTAGGTTTAATGTTTCTTTCTTTTACTTGAAATTATGTATTTCTCCTTTCTTATATGTTAAATGTCTGTTGTTTTTTTTTTCTCTTTTTTACCATTGTAATAATAATTTCTTTTTCTTATAGGATCATTTTAAAATATATCTCATCTCACATCATATTTTCAAATTAGTTTCCTCTAGGTTATTTTATAAATTTATTCAAAATATGTCATTTCTGCTTATATCTTAAATTGTTCTTTCATTTCTTTTTTGGGGTCGGGGGGATTTTAATATTAATTTCCATGTTATTTTTTACATGTATGTATGTTAGTATCTGTCTATATTTCTGAAATGAGGTATGTACACTATTTATATTTTTTGGACTATTGTCTTCATCTTTGTCGTCATATTTATTACAACGTTTCGGCCGTTGTACGCTCCGGTCTTCTTCAGTTGGTTGGAATGTCGAAATGAACCCTTTATTGCTCTCGCTGGGGTAGACTGTTCTAGTTCCTCGTGCCATGTTTAATAGATGTCAGTAATCAGTTATCTCCTGTTAATTCTCTTCTCCAATTTCTCCTCTGCCATAACCGGGTATTGAACTCACACTCTTTGGGTCCTGTCACTGGATCTAACCAACGCCTTTATCCATTGTGCCATGTGTCTTTTGGTCATCTCTGTATGAATTTCTGTGTATTACTGAGTGAAATAAAGGGTTCAGTTTGACATTCCAGCCACGTGAAGAAGGCCGGAGCGTACAACGGCCGAAACGTTGTAACAAATATGGCGACGAAAATGAGGACAATAGACTGAATAATATAAATAATGTATTTTTTTATATTAAGGTTATATTTTTGATCTCAGTTGAATTACATTATTTCTCCGTATTATTATTTAAAATTATTTTTATCGTTTTTGTCTGCGATTTTAAAGTTATTTTCAAGTTCATTTTCTGATAACAACTTTTTTACGTCTATGTATTTTGTTTATTAAAGCTCTATTTTATATATAAGCTTTTTTTTTTCCAATTGAAGTAGATTGTTTAAAATTATTAATATTTTAAATTGTTTTATCTTTACTTCTTTTGCATTTTGTGTCTTTTTGTATTTAAGGTTTCTGTGTCTCTTTCATATTTTTCAAAGTTAATTCTGATATCTACCTTTTTTACATATTATTTTCTTCTTGCCACTGGCTTTTATTTTAAAATTGTATTTTTTTTTCCTCTCTATTGTATTTTAACGGTATTTTTTTTTACTTTCCCCTCACATGAATTTAAAAATTATTTTTATCAAAACTTTTCTGTATTTGTACATTAGTATATCGCCCCTACTTTTTCGTGTTTTAAAGATTTTTGTCGTTACTTGTTCTTCAGTTTCAAGTATCTTAATGGTCAATAATAATTTTCGATTTAAAAAAAAATAACTTTTCATTGTTATTTTTCGTAAGTGGGTCTCTTTGTTATCGTCTTTTCTCTTAATATAATATATTTTCTATTTTCAATTTCCTTTTGCTTCATATTTTTCATTAGCCATGTTAATGCCATTGTTTCTATTTATTTTATTTTCTCTCTGATTTAAAACTTTCATTCTTTATTTACTTATCGTCTCGTTGAATTTCCGGCACTTATTCGGTGATTTTACTCTGATATAACGCTGTTTTTGGCTGCATCATCCTCCGTGCTTTGCCGTTCGTTCTGCTGAATATTGTTTCTAAGTTCAAACACTGGCATGTTTTTCAACGCTAGTCCTCTCAACGAATATTTTGCCCACTCTAACACCTGACGCAATATAGGCGGGTCAGTGGGTTACGTTTCAATCGTCCACCGTACATTTGAGGAAGTAAATCACCTGCTGCTACCGAACGCAGTTTGAATAATGGAACGAAAATCGAACATCAAACGCAAATTAAAGGAAATGGCCTGAAGAAGGAGCAGCAGTGTAGTCGAAGCCTTATTATGCTGCATCGGCAATAACAGCGATAAAAGCGAAAGGTGACCGGGCGGGTAAAGGCCGGACGCCAGTTAAGTAGCGATTGGGAAGCACGATAGAAGGAGAACGGAGGGGGGGGGGCTGAGAGTGAAGAGCAGAAGACGAACGAAAAAATAAATTATAATAGACAGGGTTTGATGTTGTTTCTGCACATTGTTAAGAAAGACGAAGATCTCAGATGTGGAGAGAGTGAATTTAGGAAGCAAAGAGAAAAAGAAAGACCAAGAAAAAAGGAGTTAGGTTACGTGGGGAAAACAAGGTGTATAATGTTGATACAACACGAGAAAGAGAGTGTCGACAGAAAAGTTAACAGAGGATTAGAAAAATGGAAGAGAGCTGGATATAGGTTTAAGACAAAAAGCCAAAAGAGCAAAGATATAAATTTAGGGTATGAAAGAGATTGAAAAAAAATGTAATTAAACAGGAAGAACGTAAGAAAAAAAATTGGACAAACCAGATGGAGAAAATAATGAGAAAAAATAATAACGTGTATTTAGGAAAGAAATACAAAGAAGAAAAACTGTATATTAGAGAAACAGACAGGAATGACTATGAAAAATACAATGTCTGAAAGGTGTGAGAGAAAAAGTAATGAAGTGAATGAAAACGAGGTATAATATGGAATGAAAAAAGAAGAATATAAAATAACAGGTAGAGAAGTATTTAAAAGGAGAGATGGAAAGAAAATCCACTGAAAAGAGAGGTATAAAACGGGAAGTAAATAAAGGGAGGTAGAAAAGGTAAAATAAAATGAAGGGATTAAAAAATGGAAGTATAAAAACGGTAACGGACGTACGAAAGATAAGTGAAAATCGAGGGATGAAAAGGAGAGACGAAAAGGGAAAATAGAAAAAGAGGAGGAGATGAGAGAGAGAGAGAAATATGGAAGAAATTATGACAGAAAGCTAAGTATACAAAAAAAGAAAGTGAGAAGAAGAAGAAGAAGAAGAAGAAGAAGAAGAAGAAGAAGAAGAAAAGGAGAAGGATAAGGAAGTAGAAGAAATAAGGATAAAGACACGATGGAAATGTTAAGAAACAAAGGAAAAGAAAATTCGAAGAAGAAGAAGAAGGAGGAGGAGGTGGAAGAGGAAGTAGAAGAAATAGGGATAAAGACATGATGGAAAGGTGAAGAAACAAAGGAAAAGAAAATTCGAAGAAAACAAAGAAGAAGAAGAAGAAGAAGAACAACAACAACAACAATAAAACCAACAATGACAGCCACATGAGTATCAATAAGAAGAGGATGGTGAGGTGAAGGAGTGGAAGTAATAGGGAAAAAGGAAATGATAGAAAACTAAAGAAACAAAGGAAAAGAAATTTCGAAGACGGCAAAGAAGAAGACGAAGAAGAACAACAACAACAATAACAGTAACAAAAGTATCACGAAGAAAAGGCGGGGGAGAAGGAGGTGAAGGAGTGGAATTAATAGGGGAAAGGAAATGATAGAAACCTAAAAAAACAAAGGAAAAGAAACTTAGAAGAAGGCAAAGAAGAAGACAAAAGAGAAGAAGAGAAACAATAATATCAACAACAAAAGTAACTAATAGGAGAAGAAAAGGGGGAAGGAGTGAGAGAAATAGGAAAAACGCAATGATTGAAAACTCAAGAAGTAAAAGAAAAATTAAAGAAGAAGAAGAAGAAGAAGAAGAAGAAAAATTAAAGGAAAATTAAAGAAGAAGAAGAAGAAAAATTAAAGAAAAATTAAAGAAGAAGAAGAAGAGAAAGAAGAAGAAAAATTAAAGAAAAATAAAAGAAGAAGAAGAAAAATTAAAGAAGAAGAAGAAGAAGAGGAAGAAGAAGAAAAATTAAAGAAAAATTAAAGAAGAAGAAGAAGAAAAATTAAAGAAAAATTAAAGAAGAAGAAGAAGAAGAAGAAGAAGAGGAAGAAGAAGAAACAATAATATCAACAACAAAAGAAACTAATAGGAGAAGAAAAGGGGGAAGGAGTGAAAGAAATAAGAAGAAGAAGAAGAAGAAGAAGAAGAAGAAGAAGAAGAAGAAGAAGATGTGCAACAACAACAGAAACATCAGCAAAAACAAAAGTAATAAAGAAACAACAGTGGTAAGAAATAAAAAAAAACAAGGATTTATTGTTGGTTCGTTTCACACGGTCGATCGATATTGATAGAACTAAAGATTTCATGAGGTGGACTGGGGACATTTCAGATTGGGTTGCGTGAGGCTTTCGCGATGAGAAGCGTAAGAGCTCGGCCCGCTTCAAAGAGACCAATTTGGGTAGGTGCCACCCGTTTCGTTGCGTTATTGAAATCTCAGCAAATTTCTGCTTCCTTCACAAATTACGGTGTCTTGCAGAGCTTGAGGGTGGGGAAACTAAAGAACCATTAGACCAAATATATTTCGAGGTCACCTCCAGATTTGATCTCATCGTAAAACATGCCGACACATCGTTTCTTCAACAATATCCGTTGCAATAACAATGTTACATCTCCTTTTTAACATGGTGGAGTGGGATTTTGTAAGGTGGGGTCCGGTTGGAATGCTCTAAGTACAATTTTCTCATCTTATATTTTTTATTACTTCCGTACTTTCTAAATTACTTTTACGTGTTTTTCGCTGCTCAATAATAAGGGGTCTCATTTTCAAATTCAGATGTTCTTTTTTTTCTCACCTCTTGTCTTCTTTTCTATCATTTTCTTTGGATTAATTTCCTTTAGCTTTCTATCATTTCCTTTTCCCTATTTCTTCCACTCCTTCTTCTCATCTTCTTTTTTTATTCTTCTTTTTGTTTCCTTGGCTTTCTATTCTTTCTTTTTTCTTATTTCTCCCACTTCTTCTTCTTCTTCTTCTTCTTCTTCTTCTTCTTCTTCCCTGACTTTCTATCATTTCCTTTCTCTGTTTCCTTTCTTCTCCTCCTCCTTCTATCTCTTCCTACTCCTTCTCCGTCTTCTTCTTCTGTTTCTTTTTAATATTATTATTATTCTTTGTGTATCCGTTGCTTTCTTTTTCATTTCTTTTCCCTTATTTATCCCACTCCTTCTTCCTCTTCCTCCTCCTCCTCCTCTTCTTCGTCTTTTCTTTTTTTGCTTCCTTAACTTACTATCATTTTCTTTCTCTATTTCCTTTCTCTTCCTTCCCCTATCTCCTTCTCATCATCATCCTCCGTCTTCTTCTTCTTTGCTTTCTTAACTTTCTATCATTTTCATGCTCCATTTCCTTCTCCTCCTTCCTTATCTCCTCCCCCGCCACTACTTCTTCTTCTTCTTCTTCTTCTTCTTCTTCTTCTTCTTCTTCTTCTTCTTCTTCTTCTCTCATTTGTTTCCTTAACTTTCTATCATTTTCTTTCTCTGTTTCCCTCCTTTTCCTACATCTTCTATCTCATCTTTCCTTCCTTCCTTCCTTCCTTCTTCTTCTTCTTCTTCTTATTATTATTATTATTATTATTATTATTATTATTTGAGTTTCTTCCCAACTCCTTTCTCTTCTTCATCTCTTCTATTTCATTTTCATTTTTCTTTGTTTCCTCAGCTTTCTATCATTTCCTTTTCCCTATTTAACTATCTCCTTCCTTCTTGATAACGGATGATAAAGCCAAAATTTGGCTACCTTGTCATTTCCTGGGTATTTCCATTTTTAGATTTCTCAAAATATTTCCCTCAAATTCATGCACTTTTTCAATAGTTGATGTGTTTTTTTTTAAAATGTATATCTGCCTTTCCAATCTCCCTGTAAAATTTCTTAAGAACCGTTTGAAATATTTTATTTTGGCAATAGAACCTACAACATTTTCATATCGGCTTGTCCTCTGTACCTTTGACAGTAGTTTCTGTTTTAGCATCCCCTGAGCTTCATTTAGAGATTTAGTTTTATAACTCAGCTTGATCTTCCTTCATTTGCGTGTTGAGCCATTTGAATTTCTTGTCATCTCATCTAGTATCGATATATCAACATCTGATTTCCTTTGTTTCTCGCAGAAATTTTGTCTTCCAAGCTTTTTGATCTTTTCATTTTCTTGACTCCAAGTTACTCAATAGCTGTTAAAGATGTTGTGTATATGCTATTATTTACTTCTACGATGTTTTCAACTGGTTTGTCCGTTAACAAGTGTTTGCAGTGCAGTGTTGTATATTTGCACAAAGTGTTTATTGGACTTTGTCTTATGAATTTTTGGGAGATGGTCTTTGTCTGAGATTTGGGTGAGAGTTACTCTGCTGAGTACATGTATAATAAGGTTTTGGACTTCAGTGATTTCACCTCTGGTGTTTTCAAGGAATTCTACCCTAATGTAGTTTGACTCATCTTCAGTTACATAATCTGGATAACTGCAGTTTTGTGCCGCCTGTACACTGGCGAAAATATGTTCAAGACTGATGGTTAAAGTTTTATTCATTTCATAATATGTTTCTAATAAAACAATATGAATTAGTTTTATTGTGCACGCTTTATGCAGAATTTACTTTTCTTCTGAATTTGGAATATATTCCTTAGGGCTGCTCCAAATATCTCCTCAAATGTTTGCATTTCTTCATTACATGGTGGCTTTTGCAATTCTCTAACTGCTTTTCCAATTTCCCAGTAAAACTTCTTTAGGTTCATTTATTATTATTATTGTCATCATCATCATCATTCGATTTCTGCTATGGACACACTGCGTGGTTTTCCAATTTCATGTTAATTTTTTTTTTTTTTTTTTTATCTCCATGAAGTAAAACAAAGTTCTTTAGGTTCATTTAAGACAATTTTCTGTATGTTATTATTATTATTATTATTATTATTATTATTATTATTTGTGTATGTTATATTTCCTGATTTGTCTCCTGTAAAGCCGGGTCCAAACTATAGTCTTTGGACGTACTGGAGAACTACAATTTAATTGACAGCACTTTCTTAGTATATAGTAGAGCGATCTTCTAAGTCACTTGAATGTTGATGTTACCTGAGACACTATTAGTAAAATTGTCCATTCCTTTTTTCATGAGGCCCAGTGCTGCGATTACTATTGCTACAGTTTCAGCCTTCATTCCCTGTAAATCTCGATTTTCTAGTTTTTGGATAATTTCTCGATACTTTTCATGGAGGTGTTTCTCTCAGATGGTACTTCTAAGTCAATAAGCATACACTTGAATGTATTGTCTTTTATGATAATATCATGTCTGCTTTTATTTCCCTGTCAGTTTGAACTGTCATGTCCCAGAGGATAGTTACATCGATATTTTGGTTAATTGTGTATGGTTGGTGCTCATACCATCTTTCAGTGGTTTCGATTTTGTGCTCCTTTAATATCTTCTAGTGCACATATGCAGTTACCTTGTTATGTCTCTGGGTATATTCAACTTTTGCTAGTTCTGGACATGTTGATATAACATGGTCGACAGTTTCATCATATTTTTCGCAGATCCTGTATTTTAGGCTAGTTCTATCCTTGATCATGTAGGATTTGTTTACGAGTCCTTGGTCTTAAGTGGCTATAATTAGGCTTTAGTGTCTGTACTTTCAACCCTGTTCTTCTCACCTTCTGATGTGTATTCTGTTCATTCACAGCTGCTTCATTCGTTCTTTTTAGCTATTTGTCCTCCGTTTTTTTTTTTTGGTTTTTTTTTGGAGGGGGGGGTACATTCCATTTGGTAAATTTGTTTTGCTTTGTTGTACCTGTTTGGCGTAGGTGGTATTCGTTTTGTTTTTAGTTGTTGGGGTTTCAGGTATATTAAGCTATATTTCAAGTATATATCTTGAAGACTGAAGCTTCTTTGTTTATGGAAGGGATTTAGTGCTTTACTGTTACTGTAGGAGATGGTCATCGGTTTTTGTGAGGCATGCTTCCAATCCTATTGTTGTAGTTTTTATAATGAGTTCGAGTAGGATTAGACCTTTTGGTACTTATAGCCTATCAACATCTGATTTCGGGTGGGGCATACTCATTTGGGTAAGATTTTTTCTGGTCATGGTGTTTAATCTTTTAATATAATTCCACTTCCATTTAATAATATTGAAGCTGTATATTACTTCGTGTATAGCCAAGGTGTTGATAGCCTTCATTTTATTGGTCCCATTAAGTTCGATTTATAGAATCAAGCGCACTCTGCTATAATATGTTTTTCGGACCATTTTCTCCGTAATTGAATGTCGTATTCCGTCTCCTTCATTATTTCCTAATTATT